AAAAATCTAAATTCATTTAATTATGCACTCCAAATAACGCGTACTTAAAGTTTAACCCAAGTATCATTATAAAAAAAAAGTTTATCCCAAGTACGTAAAAAAAAAAACCCAAGGTATGGGAGGGCAACGGGCAGGTTGGGTGGATTTTTGTCTCAAATTGACCCACCCTCTTACTAGCGAGTTGGTATAATTATGGCCCGCTAGCCCACATACTTCTGTGGGTTGGGTGGGTGCGGTTGGGTTGTGGGTTAACCCGCCAAAGCAATGCTCCAAATAGTAATTAAGAAAGTTTAGTAATATTTATGATAATTTTCCTGTAAATTAGTAAGATTGTATCAATTTAGACACTTCCCACTTTGTCTCATGTGAATCCATGTAGTATTTGCATCAAAATTTTCAATACTCTATCAACAACTGTGCAGAGAAATTGAGAAAACTGACACATTTTGCGACTTTGATAAAATTAATAGTCTATAATTTGTATCCAATATCTAATGGATATTATACAACACAGTAACCAATAATAGTATTCCAAAAATATGATTTATTCTCAACTTTTAGAAGTAGATGGTCATTGTGTAGTATGGTTAGGAAATATTATGAATATTCGATAGCATAAGAAACCACATTTTGTCATGTGAAAATATAGTGTGGGTCATTCAGGTGACCAGTGACCTGCAACCCACCCACTACCCACCCACATAAGTGCAAGTAAGAAATTTATCAATTCGCAATCCACTCACATCAATCATCCACTACTTGTGGTTCGGATTATTTGCAGGTGGATCGATATTAACCCGCAGATTAACCACTCATTTGCCCACGCCAAGGAACCGAGGGGAACTCCTAACTTTCCCTAGGATGTGTGTTGCCATCAACTCATTGATTTATCATTTTATGTACCTACTTATTTATTTTGCATTTTGGCCAGGTGGGTGCACTTGCAATACTGTGAGAAGGAAAATTCAAAATAGGGTTGGACGAAGACAGGCATTTAACAGGCCTGGCCCAATATTGAATCGCACTCAATGTTTACCTCTCTCTATGACAGTCCCAAGCCCGAACACAAATTTTGCCCGCATCTTGGTAACGAATTAATCTGCTAGCTACCAATTTTAGTTGGGCTTCCTGATCAAACCGTACAACAATCAAACAATAAAAAAGAGAAAAAACCTGGATTAAGGACGATCCACTACATTTTAATCATAAACACGCTACTATAAACTCTAGTAAATTCATACAAAGAAGCTTGACCAAAAGGTTTGGTGGCACCTAAAGAACCCCAACAATAATTTACTCACGTACAAGATCCCAGAATGTTGGTCAACACTATTAAGGAAACCTCTTCTCCCAACCATATATCGCCAGATCCCAGAAACGACAATCTAGCTAACAACTTAGCAAGACACAGTCGGCCTTGTTGATGCATCGAGTAGACCGAGTCCACCTATATCTAGCTTGTTTCTTCACTTTAAAAGATATCGTTGGGCTTGAAATTTGCACAGGAACTCACTATACCTTGTGCTTTAATCAACCGTTAATATTGGGAGTCATGGAGATTCGAACATAAGACCACTTGGTCAAACCAGACTTTGATACCATGTTATAAACCAGTTGGTCGACCCAATAACTCGAGTTGCTGGGAGAAGGTTACGTTGAATCGTATACTACTCTCTGGCACTTTTCCTTTTCTCTATTTTCTTCCGTTGTTCATGTTTTGTGTGGTGAAGGGATGCTCCCAGGGATCGAGTGGGGTTTCTTCGCATGTGGTTCACACACACAATACTAATGCAGCTAGCTACTAGCTAGCTGGTTGCGAGACTGAGCATCAATACACAGTTATACACTACTACTACTACCACTCTACTGGGATCTAATTCTAACGTGACATTGAAGCCATCGAGCTGTCGATCATTGAAGGATGAGAGGTTAGGGCTAAATTTTGAACAAAATGGGGGGGCTCCAGCTCTCCCAGTCCCCTCAGCCGCGGGTTGCTTTTCCCGCAGGTCGCCACCACACAACCATACAATTGTTCCGGCCCACGTACAGCACGCTGGGTGAGGTCGCTTTCTGTTTCGGGTCTGGTCTGTGGGATGAAAGGAAAGGAAAAAACACCGAGAAAGAGAAAAACAACGAAGCATAAATGTTTTCTCCTTTTTTCTCTGCAGGTTGGTGATGGAGTCATCGTCTTGAGGGCTCCTCCTCCTCTTCAGTGTTGCTTTCAGGACAGGTAGAAGGGAATTATATCTGCAGGAGACGGAGTAGTGTATGTTACGTGGCGCAGGACAGGCCAGAGGAAAAAGCCTGTGTGGCTGGAATTGCAGGAAAAAAGTTACTGCGGCATGCAGATGACTGTTTTTTTTTTTAAGGTTCAGTGATTTCCCTCTTTCTTCTGGTTTTTAAGGTTTCCATCATCGTAATATAATCATTGGGTATTATGTGAGGGATACGTAGGCGTACGTTGTCGCCTCGTACGTATACAGGTCTTGTCGGCACGCCATGTACGGTCGGTCCATCCCCAAATCAGTACTCTTAGAAATGTCTGTTCTCTCATAATATTATTATAGTATTATTATGGAATCTACTATATATGTACGTACTACGTACACATGTATAAAAGGGAAGTTTTGCATGCACGTAAATATCTAAGATTTGGTGATGATTTTGACCGACTTCCAGCTTGACAACTAAAAACCCAAATTCAGTGCAAGAAAAAGGTGTTGGGTAATAACAATAGTTCATAATTAATTATATATATACCATTTACTAATAAATCGAGTTGTTATGGATTGTAATTGTTCTTTTACGACTGACTACCTGTATGTGGATAGTTGTTGACTTGTTGGGAGAGGTTCGTGTACGTGTATGGTATTTAACCACTTTCTTACACGCGTTCCCCTCAAACGAAAGCAAACTCATGGGCTTGAAGTTTGCACATACCCAACCATACCATGTGCTTTAAGACAATGGTTAATATTGGGAGTTGTAAGGACTTTAACACGTGACCTCAAGTACAAATTAAACCAGACTCTGATCCCATGTCAACCAACAGGTACCAATAACTCGAATTGTAGGGAGAGGTCCACGTATGATACTTAACCGCTTCCTTACAATTGTACGCTGTGTGTAGATGGAAGGAATTAACATTCAACATAATCGGTTCGGTAGTAAAACCTGCTCTGCATTGTCGACCACATGTTTTCGTTGAATATTCATAAGGTTTTTTTGTTACCCGTTTCCACAGGGATGGGGCAGGGGGAGATGGGAAAGGGGTCACCGTTGTCGCAAATGTAACGTTGGGCTGATGGGCGATAGGTATTAATTTGGTCCCTGTGGTTGTGTTGTAAGAGCTTTTGTCTGGTCTCAATCCGTTCCATGAAGAATCGAATTCAATCTTCTTCTTCCTGTTTTTGGTGCGTTTAAGAGAGTAGGGTAAGGTAAGGTTACGTTTCTCTCTTCATATGGCTGGCTGGCTGGCTGGCTATCGGTTGGTGTTTTGATTGAGTGAAAGATTTACTGTTGGATCTGGAAGCCGATTGGAGATGATGAATGTGTGGTTCATTCGTTCGTTCCTCTTCACATGGTCGACGCCGGGCTTGGCCTGCCTACCTACTTCCATCCATCGGCATTTTTTTGTGTATAGGCTAGTGGTTTGTGTTCGTTTGGTACATCTTTCTAGCTATTTGGTAACTGTTATTCACATTCATGTTGTAATGAATTTCGTAAGAAAGATGGAGGACATGTGGAAAATAAGGTAGAAGGTGAAACTGTTGTCGGGCTGATGTTTGATGGCGTGGCTGTCAAAAATAAGCTCACCCTAATGGATGTTAAGAAATGAAGTATCCTAGCAATTTGAGTTGTTGAGGGGAAAAAAAAAACTTAATCGTTTTCTTAATGTTCTATATTAAGTTGAGTTTTTCTTGTTAAAGCTAACGATTTGGCTAAGTTTTTTATCCTTCGGAGTTATAATGGATATTTAGTGGATAATATCGAGCTCATGATACATACTTCATCAATTGAAAGAGAGGTTTCATTTCATTTAATATCTAGAAAATGATGGTACTCATGAAGGAGAATAATACTTGGCAATGCTTTTATGAATATGGATTTTTTTCCATCCATTTCTATGACACTGAATACAAATGTAACACCCACAATAACATCCTATTAAAGAAAAACACTATAAGTATCTAGTTTATCTTAATAAGTCGATTTGGAGAAATCATATAATAGGAAAAATATTATTTTCTTAAAGTCTTGTGAATAGAAAAACTTATGAATTTTAAGTTTTAATCAAATACCTTCAAATTTGTGTATTATATATCAATCTTTTCAACTGGCTACTCCACTAGTATGATATTGTCTACTTTGCAGTTTGCTCCAAATATGCATGAATTTACTTTTTAGATATCCTCTCCAAAAGGCCTCATACTAGTGAAGTTTGGTGGACACTTATATACCAGTACCCTTACCTTTGTATGTACGATGTGGTACTTGGATTTTCCCATAACAATCCTCCCCTCATTACAAAGAACACGAACTTCGTATCATCCACTCACCGATTATCTTGATCATCCAAACACAAGGATTTCCCAGAAGCAGATATTCGTTACCTGCCAGATAAGAATCTTTGATTCGACAAATGCGGATCTTTGATCCACGAGATGTCGATCTCCAATTCCGATATCTCATAATGAGGGTCCACAAAAAATTCCACCGCCCTGGATGGAACTAAGCTCTGATACCAGTGTTGAAACCGTATAGCTCTATCAGTAGGATATGTCCTCTTTGGGCCAAATCCGCAAGGATTTCCTTTTGGGTACCTCCCCAAATGCCTCATACAAATGCTCTTGGTGGGAACTAATGTACAAGGGTCATTTCTCTTGTATAGTTATCCATTAGACATCTTTTATAGTTAGGATTTTCTTATACAAGGATTGACCAGCTGCATATCTTCATTAATATGTCAGAGAAATGCATATCTTCTTTGATCCACCAAAACATACACAAATCTTTCTTGATTTGCCACATAGATGCGAGTCTCAAATCTCGATTTCACTGAATGAGGGTCCACCATGACTTCCATCGCTCTGGATCAAAATCAACAAATCAGGCTCTAATACTACATGTAGGGATGCCAATTTGAACCCGCCCCGCCTGGTATTGCTCGACTTGACCAACAATGGGGAGGGTATTACTCGACCCGCAGAGTATAAGGCTACTTCCAGCCCTGCTTTGTCCCGGCCCTCCCCAATATTGGCCCATTATATATCAATTTCTTACATGGTTGTCACGCCGGCCGGCGTGCCAATGGTTGTACCGGGTTCAACCGGTACCGGTCATAAAACCGGCGTGACACCACCGGTATGACTGGCATGATCGATATACGAATCTCTAAGTAAAATGACCTTATTTTAGAGAATTTAATTAATAAAAATATTTTATTATTTATTTTATGAGTATAAAAGTTAAATATTGATGTTATTTGTTGGATTCAAGTGTAAATGTTTAGGTATTGACGTTAAATGTCATGTTTAAATATGAGTATTTATAATTTTATTTGTAATATTGACCGGTATAATCGGCACAAACCGGTATGTGCCACCGGTTGAACCTTTCCACTTTCTGAACCGGCACACTGGCATAAACCGGTTTGACAACCTTGATTTCTTACAATATCTATTCATAATTTCATATTTCTCTTATTTTGACTTTTCTTCAACTAGTTAGATTTGCTTTTTCAACTAGATAGACTCAATTACCTATTCTATTACCCGTCCTGCCCCACCTGTTTGCCATCACTGACCAAATGTTGATATCGAATGCTCATTAGTATGATTATATTGTCTACCTTGACCCAAGCACGCTCAAATTTACTTTAAGATTCCTTCCCAAAAAACCTCTTACTAGTGAAGTTTGGTAGACGCTTATTTACAAGAATTTGTTCCCCTTGTATTTCAATTCTATCCATCCAACTCAACAAAAGGGTAGCCAAATTATGACTTTTGCTGATTCTATTGATTGATGAATCAACATCTTATCCATCAACAGCTTGAATCACGGATTGTTAAAATGAGGAATCCCATGAATTGAAAATTTCAAATGAAAATTATATCTTAATAGTAGTAAGAGTCTATGATTTGGATAAGGCATTTTTGTATATGTTGTGGATTGGGGAGAATAGATGACAATAATTAACGATAGTCAAGTACTCAAATATCTTGACTACTATATGTAATTAATGTTTCTATTACAAGTTATCCCGTAAGTAATATGATCTCCTTTTAGAACACATATGCATAAAATTGTTAGGTGTTAGAAGAAACACTAAAATGATAATAAGTTGTAAGAATAAAACTATAAGGAAAAAGTTCAATTCACACGTTGTGATTAAAAAATCTCCCACGGTCTATTTAATTTATCAAAATAATAGAGACAAATATTTGTACACTAATTGTATAATGAATTTTTTTTTATTTATGAGATTGCATAATTTGTAGCTAGAAGTGATGAAACTATGTGAACATTCTGGTTGACTGGCTAATCAGATTTATAGAATTACATTGCAAGACAGATTTAAGTTGGTGAATATATGTAATATTGTGTGACCAATGAATAAATTAAATGGAAACTGAATTATGTACATGTATTATAAAAACAAAGCGTGATTCATTTCATTTTATTTTCTTATTACAAGATGTGACAAACAAAACTCACTCAGTTTGTAAAACTATACTAAAATTTTGAAATTAAACAGTAAAATATGAAATGGATATTCAAATGGCATATTAATTTGTTTTCCAAATCTTTAAAATCTTTTCTTGAATCATACCATAGTGATATGATCATATTAGAGGATGGTGTGATTCATATTAGAAGGGATAAGACATGAGTTCTATAGGTCTTATAATCCTAAATTTTGTAGGATAATACATGCCTTAAAAATCAGTAACTGATTGTGCGAATAACCTCTAAACTTATAAGACTCAAATGTCTTTCACACCATTAATCCTATAATATAATTTCATCTCACCCTTTCTGGATAGAACAACGCATCAACTTGTGAATTGATGAACTCTAAAGTATATCAGTACTACTATCATAATTAATTTGTGTCACATAATAGCACAAAAAAGCTACTCAAATTTTCTCTAAAGACCCCATCAATCAAACACGGCAATTTCAGGCAATCAAAAGTCGTAAAAAGACAAAAGGGATCGAAAACGGCCAAGATAACATAACTAACAAATCAAACTCGTCAACCTAACAGATAAGCTCAAATCCAAGCGGAAGATATCTATATATATATGAAGAAAAAAGTAGGCTAATTAATATAAGTTCACACAGCAACACAAAGTAGCGGTAGAGGTCAAGTGGGGGAAACCCAAAATGGCAAAAAAATTAAAGGTGCCATTAAATTAAACCCGTGCAACAAGCCGACGTCCATAAGAGGGAAAAAATTAAGAAGTTCACAGAAATATCGAATTACCTCACAACTTTGCTTTACCAAATTAAAGCAGGTGAACGTAAACCGGAAATTCTCCATGCAGATTCTCCACGTAACAACGATCGAGTTGAAGACAAATCCAAAGGGTCGTGAATCCTCTTTATAAGAGCTGTATTTCTATATACATTCGCCAGCTGAGAATCAACATATCTCTCTTTATATATGTGTATAAATATCTGAATGACACAGAGCATCAATCATGCACTATTCCTAGGTAGTAGTCGATCGTCTTTAAATGTGTATATCCCCATCGATCTTGATGTAATATGTAACCTCAAACTCCTCAACAACAAACTCCCTCCCTCCCTCATTATGACCGCCCGGCCCTCCCTCATCACTCATCACCACTCTTTCATATAACTTAGCTATATGTGTAAATAATTAAGTAAATAATCAAGTGGATGGATCAATTCATTTAATAGTTATTTCAAGTTTATCAACGCTAAGATAAGTTCGAATTGCGTTATGTATGGCGTCGACCACTCGTTACGAGAGTAAGATTCTAATTCATAATTCGTAGAAGTCTGTGTGTTTTATTTGAGCATATATATATATCGGCCGTATGGTAACAACATGGAAGCAGTAATTGGGGTTATATAATTTTATTTGACATAAAAGGCAATTTAATTTACTAGATATTTCGAATTGGCAGCTTACCCATGTTTGAGGTAAGACATTCGGGACCAGTAGTTCACCTACTACCTACCATCTACTTCTTGAAACCAGTCCTTGGAAATGGAGCGAAAATGTGGGCCCAATCTTATTGGGCCTCGTTTGTCGTGACATCATATACACAGTTCCGCAGAAGGGGCAGCCCACTGGGCTGTTTGTATTGTTACATTGGGCCTAATTTGTTGTGGCATCTAGCAGTATGTATAGTTGTATACACTATACAGTTTGTCAAAGGAGCAAGCGAGCCCACTGGTTGTTTTGTGTTGTTTTATTGGGCTTAGTGTTGAAACCCAATAACAAGATCCATTGTGTAAGCCTAACACAAATAGCATCTTTTATCCACAATGGCCGGTCATCTAGATTCTCCAAGTGTATAGTAGGACCAATATACATACATATTATATTATCATACATGTATAAAAATTCTGATGTATGGTAGATTATAATGTTTGTTATTTCTTATTTTGTTTTCAATAATAGAAAGGAAAATGCGATAACCTCCATGTTTTCCTTTTTTTTCGTTGTGTATCCTAACTTGCAAAATTCTTGTATATTTGTCGTATATTTCGATAACTATGACTATTGAGGATATTAATTACTTAGTCAAAATGTAATTAATTCCTTGTCCAACAAGTCCCTTGTTTCCTTGTCCGGGTAAAAGAGGGAACTTGGTTGTCTTTAGGGTTTTAACCCTAAGTCGTTCTCTATAAAAGCTTAGCTATGGTTCTGTCATAAGCAAGCCGTCACAATGTAGTCCTCACGTAATAAAACGTCAGTCGTGAGCAAGTTCCGAACTCACCGTGGATTAGTCTCGATCAATCAATTGATCGAAGATACCACGTAAAATCGTTGTCTTCTGTGTTCGTTTCAATTCCGCATCATCAAATTCTACAATGACAAACAACAATATTACCGCCACTTCCACACCCAGAAGTTGCAACTCCCGCAGGATCTCACCAGTAGAGAAAGGTCCAATTTCTTTCACCCGACGTTGGCCCAGCTAGCTAGCCCAACAATGCTGCATTATTGTTAGGCGGCCTTTAAGTACTCCTCCAACCAAGGACTGTCCTAATCTTATATGACCAGGATCGTCCTTTCTTGAAGTAAAGGAACAGTTTGCTTGTAGTATAATTAAGTGGCACATTTTGTTTTACACAACCGGCCGAAAATTCAAAGCAGCACGGCGCAGCGTAGAACACTAAAAAATATGAACTAGCTAGCGTTCTTTCTGCCCTACCAAAGGCTTCTTCTTCTTCGTCTTCTTCGTATAGATGGAGTTGTCAATTTTGGGTTAGGTGAAGTGATGAAGCAGGTGTTGTCTCTGTTTCTTTGTTGCACTTGCACTTGCACACATGCATGCATGTGCTAGTTTTTTTCTCATGGGCTAGAAATCCAGTACTACACGCGCATGGGCCATGGGCCCAAACTCTACATGTACGAGCAGCGTCACTCAGCTAGGTCGATCGTTTTCGATCTCAGCTTTGATACAAAGAATGTGCCCCTACCAGCAATCATTAGAGACCAGTACTGCTGCCAGTCTGACACTGAGCTTTCACATTAGTTCGACTCTGTGATCATAGTGGAAAAAGGTATTCCAATTTAAGCAAAAAGGTGGGCTTGGTTAGCTGTGAATTGTAACTGAGGAGTACTCATGTAGCTGCTGAAAGCTATCCTCTGTTGAAGACAAGTATGGGCCAATAGTTAGTTAAGACATAACAGTAAAGGACTAAAATCTATCATCTTTTTTGTTCCAAAACGCATGCCATGATAGAACTCCAAGTAATTGTCGTTTGAATCTTGAGATAAGCTTTGGCCTTTTCCCTGGCCGTCTTCCACATTTGACTATCAAATAATGCGTGCACATGATTTTCTGTTAACCAAGTTCAACCTATTGTTCAACTTTCGGCTCAAACATGGTTCACCCTTTCAGAGCTAGTGTCTAGAATTTTATCTTATATCGTTCTAACTCCAAGTTGAGTACCTTTGGGGGAATCTCAAACCCTTGACAAGAATATAGCAATATACCCATTTCTCTATTACTCACAAGCACTCACGCTAAATAGAGAAACTACCCAACCTCACAAACACTCAATCAATACAGACAGTGAACACATATCACTTCTTACACCTATTGCTAATCACAAAGTGCTTAATCTTGCTTTGTGTAGGATTTGCTTGTCAAATTCTATGAGTCTTGTCTTGTTGCTTCATTCTCTTTACACTTTCTCTTAGTGCAACGGTCTCCACCTGATCTTCCTTCGATTTGAAATTTTTTCCCCCTCTATAATCACATATTGATGAGTGCCTGGATCAAGGGTTGGTTTAGTTGAATAAGGGAATGGGAAGTTGATGGGGTTTTGGATGATGGTATTTGTGTGTGATGGAGGGAATTGGATGGGTTGGTGAATTGAGGAAGAAGCAGGAGAGAATTGGGAGGGTTGGACGTGAAAAGAAAAGAAGAAGGGAAGAGGTTGATCGGCCAAGGGAAAGCTAGAGAGAAGAGAGATTGGAAAAGTGATTAAGTGGTTGTTTATTCCTTAATAATCCTAAATGACTATAATACGTAGACTTATAGTCTCTTTCTCCTCGCAACTACCACACTAATCCTAAATCTCCCCCCAAATATTCTCTATAATCTCAAATCCCCTAAAATCTCAATGAATATCCTCAAATAAAAGTAATAATAAATATGACGTAATTAAAGTAACAACTGCTGGCACGTCACCAAACTGTGCCTTCATCAGTCACGGCCGCTTCGGAACAACCTTATCCTCAAGGTTGACAATCCGCGCCAGCCTTGCTTGCCTCCGCCGCCACTTCTTCTGCTTCATCTTCAAACGTTCCAACCAGGAGAATGAGATTAGCGTTGGCGTAGTGATGCCCGATGGTGTAGCACTCATCGCAGTTGTAGCATTTTCCATCTCTCCATTTCAGCCAAAGTAAGACGCACGAACCCGCCAGGCGGCAGACGTGGTCCTCCCCTAATTGATGTGGCTCCACCTCCCGCCGGCGGCCCGCCTCCATTTCCGGCCCCACCGGCTCCGACAGCTACCCCGACTCCACCCTGCACCACCGTGCCCGCCCCGGTGGGTCTCGGCTACCTCCCCAGGACCCCTTTCCATCCTACCAGCTCCACTTTGCCACACGAAATGTAACCCGCACGGAATTGGATTCAAACACTTTGACAACAACTGCAATTTCTGATTTTAACTTAACTAAACACAAACCAACCAAGGATTCCTCCGACGTGTCATGCTAACTGGGCGATCTGGAATGTAGTTTTGGACGGAATTGGATGGATTTACTATTTTGTTATTCGCTTAAACCTTTGTTACCGAAACGTGCAAAATTAAAGGATTGTGACCGTTTTGTACAAAGTGAATAGGTTTGTGACCATTTATGATAACTATCCTTCATCGCACATTCACGACTGGTAAGTAATAATTTATTTTGTTTTACTTTTTTGAAACTTTTTTCCGAACAGTTGTTCCACGTGTGTTTTTTTAGGAAGATATATTTTACAATTTGTCAAGATTGATATATGGAACTTGGAAGAGAGAAAGATCGAGTAGCTATAGCTAGCTTATTGGTTTCATTTCATGCTATTTAGTGGTGGGTGGGCCGGGCCGGGTTGGCGCACCCAATAATAATTAGCAACTTTGAGAGGCAATTTTGGACAAGAGTTGTTGACACAGTTGCATGGAAGCCATTTCCAACCTGCCTTTTTACCATCACTTTGGCCCCACCTACCCATCTCACTATCACTAATTAGCAACAGAACGTGACAATTTTCTTTTAATCACTAATTGCAATTTGGTCCACCCTGTTAAAAAGAAAAAAAAATATCAATATTTAAACATTAATTTCCCCTTTCATCACCAAAAATAGGACCACTCTACTCTTTAGGTGCAACGAGAACAAAATAGATAAGGTTGTTCATATCTGTTTATCTCCTTTCTGATTAGTTTAATTAGTTGGCCAGTCACAAAATCAGAAAGATTGCCAAAGTTGATTAAACAAAATTTGTTGGTGTCTGTTTGGCCTCGTCTCAAAATGGAATTTGTAACATCTCACCTCAAAATATTGTATGTTTTGGGTCTACCTCATACGGTTTTGCTTACGGGTATATCATAGTGGTTTTTAAAAGTCACTCATCTCTGAATTGCTCCATACTAAACAAGTTTAATTTGAGAGTTCTTATAATAATTCTTTCATTTCACTATAAAAATTCGGCTTGTAAGTTAATTACGATTGGATTGTTTCTTATAAATCATGAATCTCTCTCTTGCTTTGCCAATGTGAGATTTGTCCAAGTGTTACATACGCCCCCTTTGGGACTCAACATCTCCTTGCGGTTTTCTCCATCGTTCACGGAGAGACTCTAATACAACTTGTAAAATTTCAATCTTTTTCTGACCAATATATTGTCGGCTTTGGATCTACCCCACACTATTTTGC